ACTGCTTGCCTGTTAAGGAAGCTGGCTTTTCTGTAACTTTGGATTTTCACCTGAACTTGTGTATCTGTGATCAAGCTGAAACCAACCAAAGTAATCGGGTTTAAGGGCTGCACAGTAGACACAGCAGTAATGAATCAAAAGGCTTAAAAAGCTCTTATATTGCTATTTCATTCTTCAACACGCAAGCACGCTCATCAAGATTTAACTGCAACAGAAGGACTTATTTATTTTATTTGAGAAACAGGCACTTCACTGAAGCTCTCTATTAGACAATATATCACATTGTTCACATTTTATGCCGTAGTTTGTCTTCCACGTACAGCTGGGGAAAAAATATATATGTGCTTGCTTATGCTGCAGGGCACGCCTGCAAAGTTTTAAATGTAGTTTTGGTATTTATCCTTTAAACTTAACAAGATTAAGTTCAGAATCAATCCATATAATTTACCCTAATGACTGCTTTGCTGTTGTTTTCAGATGCCAAATTGTGTCACTGTAACTGCCATGGATGGGCCTTAGCAGTTAGTGTTGGAAAAGAAAATAGACTGGAATCAGTCTAAAATGAACACAGATGGAGTGAAAGTGCCTTTAGTGTGGAATAGTGAAAATGTACTGCTGTGTACTTATTCCAGTTTGAGTTAAAGTGAACCTATGCTGTGAAAACCTGCTTTACATGTAGGCTCAAGTCCTATTTTACCCCAAAGGTACCTAAATGACTTTTAGATGTTTAAGATCAATCCTATTCCACCCTGCTTGAGTCCCTGAAAAACTGTTAATGCAAAAGGCAAGTATGTCCTCTTCCTCCTCTTTGTTTTTTGTGGCTTAGTCTTAAGGCTAAGATGAAGATATGTTAACAAAGTTGACCCATTAATGGCTTATCAGGCACTTGAGCTAGGTAGAACTGGATTACACTTTGGAGCCTACATGCTACTTAGGTGCCTTTGACATAATACAGAAGTTGGAGCATAGATGTTTATACTGGTATGGTACCCTGCTGTAGATAGACTTATGGGGGTATAATGGCCCTTACACTGGCACTGCTTTTTTTTTTTCAATACAGGAATAAACTCTGCCGGTATAAACATTTTATACCCATATAATGTATTGTACCCATGGCAGGGATATAATGGATATAATGGATGTAAATCAGGCCTTAAACTTATAACCACTGAGAATTTTGATTCTTTTATTGCTCAAATAAAATTCTGACCTCACTAGGAGTTTGGTTTGGGTAAAGAGTTTGGAATTTGGTTCACAGTGACTTCGTATTATGAAAAAAGCTTTGCTCTGGAAATGTTCAGCTGTGTCCTTTATTCCTATCTGGCTGCCCAAAGGCACAAGTTGCAAGTTAAGGAAACATGGCCAGCAAAAAACCTACCTTAAAAAGAAAGAACAATCATGTCAAAGGAACAGAGGCACAAAAGAATTTGAATCATTCACCCCTGGGGATTCTACATTTCTGTGATTTAAAAATGACCAATCCTCTTTCTGCCCCCAAGTTTTGCAGGTAGGAAAGTAACTTCTTACCATCTTTTTAATATGCTAGATAGCACCCTGGAGCAAACCAGTAGCAAAGAGAAGGATGGAAAATGTCTTTCTGAATAATATTATGTTTTTCATTATATGCAATCTGGCAATGGCCACTTTAGATGTGTGTGGGCAAATATGATGGCTAACCTGCATGTCTTTGAAATCAGTAAAAAAATCAAAAGCCCACTTGAGCTCAGTAGTTCATTGAGCTAGTGTGATTGCAGCATGCCATTTTCTGCAGCTCACAGAAGGTAAGGTACTGATGTGACCAGCATCACTTTCAACTGAAAAAACCACTATGGACAGAAAGTTAAGGGGAGTCCAATATAAGCAAGTTAAAGCAGAAAGAGCAAGCTGTGTTAGTCTGAAATCAGGCAGAAGACAGGGCAGGGTAGGGCAAGGATTCAGAGGAGCGTTAAGTTTGTAGGCTACAGCCTTTTTATCCAATACAGTTAAAGCAAGTTAAGCATGAGCACACTCTCATTCAGATTTGCTGTAGATCAATCAATAGGAGGAAACTGATACTGATACAGCAAGTTCAGGACACTTTAATCCTGAATGACAGCAGCCACATCATGTTTTAATGTGTTTTAACACGTGCAGTGACTTCACACTCATAGCTTTTTCACCTTAACTTTTTAGAACATTTTCATTTAGAAAACCCAGGACACCATTTTTTGTGTAGAGCTGTGATGACACACTCATGGTTAACAAATGCCCCCAAATGTCAGCTGAAGTGGTTGAAACTGAAGATGGACCCAGTGTATCCTTCTTCCCAGGATCACCTTTACCACATTACTATCCAAACAGAATCCATCATATGTGGTTCAGAAAGACAGTCTTCTCTTAGAAAAAGTGGATAGCTCCCATAAAGCTCTAGAAGTTGGATGGGCATATCAAAGGGAGACTCTCTTGAAAATATATACATTTATCACTTCAATTCTGGGTCATAGAGAAAAATGGTCAACAAATAAACAATCAAGGAACAATTTTACTTGGTATTTTATTCACTTAACAGAAACATTCACTTATCAGATATCACTGAAGTGCAATTTACAGAACTTAGCAGCAAATTCACATGTGTAAATTCAGATTTTTGTTGTCCTTTTTCTTTTTACAAATATTACAAATGTACATCCATTAGTACAGTATTGCCATTCACTCATGCGTGTTATGTACATAATCTTCACCTAAGAATTACTATTTGAGCAAGTTTTCCTTTGCCTCAGGAAATGCTGAATTGAATGTTAGTCACTCGTGCTGCTGGGATGTAATCCCATCACACTGTATCGATGCATATAGTGAGAAACAGTAGAAACCACAGGCCCAATTCAACCCTGGTACAAGCAGGTACAACTCCACTGTCTTCAATAGATTTGTTTTAGTCCCGCTTACAACAAGGCCCAAAGAGGGTCACAACTGCCTACATTAGGTCTGGCTATTAAATCCAGGAATTTGTTTGTTTATTTCTTGCAACAAAGGATCGTTCAATCCACCACATTTTTCTTTTTATTCTTAAAAATAACCAGATGCTGCATTTATTGTCTGCCACCAGGTGATGTCTGCCACCAGCTCCTGTGGCTTTATGGATTTTTAGGGTTGGAATCACGCCAGAGCTGCATCTAGATGGTATAACAAGGAGCCTTAATGTCTCTCCTGTGGCTAGGTTGGGCTAACAAGAGATGGAGCAGTTCAAGAAACAGTCCCCGATATCCCTCATGTAGAGGAAGCCAGAACAAGAGAGTCCCTGAACCCTTCATGCTGAGTGGCCAGAATCTCTTGCTGGATTTCAGCACTGCTAATGGTCTGCAATGTGTGAAAAACACACAGTCAACAGAGTGGGATAGGACAGAACTGCACCAGCTCGGGTGACCTTGGAGGGAAATTTGACCTCGGGATGCTAGAATTTTTCCCCGAGTTTTGCAGGGCTCAGGGAGCTAGGCATTTTCAGAGCATGCCCCCCTCCATGTCAGATGTACTTTTGGTGATGGGCAGGGCTCTGGTTCTGCCCTTGTCAGAGTGAGCTGCACCACTGGCATTAAAGGAAGGAACCGTCCTTGGGTTCCCCCTCGTCTAGGGGGGGTGGCCCTTATGCTGCCCATGTATGAGGGGGAGGAAGTGACTTCTGTCTGCTCCCTTCCTGCTCAAGGGGCAGCCACAATTCAGCCCTCTGCTTAAAAATCCCTACCCGGGCTGGTATCCTGCTCTCTTTCCAAAGTGGCTACCCTCTGCACTGACGCAAGGCCAATGGCTTCTGGGCCTGAGCTCACTCTTACTGATATCAGTGGGGATGTCTTCCATTGATACGAATGGGAGCTGGGGCCCAAGCCATATTAAAGAGTAACATGGCTGAACATTTCCCGTTGGGAAGGAAAGTGTGGCTGCGCAGGGAACCCCCAGATAGTGCTGAAAATCTTTCAAATGTTAAGAGTTACGCTGGGCGAGATCACATTAGCAAAGGGATTACCACAGAACAACTCCTTCCCCCTAAATGACTGAAACAACTTCAGGTTATTTAGTATTTCTAGTCTAAGGATTTTTTTTGGTAGTTAATATGGAATGTATTATTTTGTTGAAAAGGTTTCCGGGAAGGGAGAGCTTTGTTTTACCTAATTTAAAAATTCTAGTTTATCACAATATTTTTTATACAAGACACTATAGATACATCTTGTAGCTTATAATCTAAAAATAAGATCTCATCAAAATACTGTAGCTATTCTATTGTGGGCATCAATAAACAATGTATTTACTGTATATGGCTCCAAACATGATAAACCTTATACAAAGAGCATCTTTCTTTATTGATAGGAACAGTTTCCTGTGTAAAGGAAATTACATGGAAAAATATGAGCCTTGTGTTTGTCTGAAAAGTAACTCAGCTTGACAGTTCTGAGAAAATACCAAGACAATTATCACAAATCATCAGCAGCATGTTATATACAGATTGAAAGAGAATCACAGGAATAAAAAGAAAACAGTAGTAATATACCCGCAAATCCTGCCATTTAAGAAAACAAACAAACGAACAAAAGAAATATACAGTGTTAACTGGGTAGCGCGGTACAAGGCTGGCTCTGGAGTTGCCTATCAAGGCTTGGGTCTCTTATGACTATTTTTCCTGCACTCTGATGAAGTTAAATCAGTCACAGCTCAGACAATGTGCGCCTCTTAATCCAAGTGATGAATCAATGATTTAACAGTGAAAACTTATTCTTTTTTTGACTGAAAACAATGCTCGTTTCAAGCCGCAAATAAATGTGTGGTAAATGTAATAATAATAGTTAGTACCTATATAGAACCAGAAGCTGAAAAACCTTTAGTCACATTGATTAGAAACTTGCTCTAGGTAGCAGTCCCATCTTTTGGGATGGTTTTGATAGACGTATTTGCAGAGCAAGGTTAAGCTCAACATAAATATGACAGATTCTGGCTTACACAGCTGTTTACAACTAACTACTAACGAAGCCGTGTATCCCTTACAAGCTCCTTGTGATACAGGTAAGTATTATTATCCACATTTGCTAAATGGAGAAATAGAGGTAGAGAGGGTATGGGCCAAATATCAGAATTGGTCACTAATTTGGGGCATCTTAGTTTGTGGGTACCCAACACCAAAGTCTTGATTTTTCAGAAGTGCTGAGCACTATCAGCTCCCAGTGACTTCCCTTAGGATTGCAGTATTCAGTATCTCTGAAAAATGGATCCGGTTTGGGGCATCCAGAAAGATAAGCCACCCCAGGACACAATTGAAAATTTAGTACTAAGTGACACCCGACGTTACAGGAGGAGTCAGTGTGAGCCAGGAGAAGAGAACAGGAAATCTTAAGCCCCCAGCACTGTGGTTCAATCTAAACCTGGAAGGACAGTTAAAATTTTGTTTGTATCTTTGTAGACTAAAATACACGCTGTGAATCAAAGCAGCCGATGTTTACAATGATTTTGGCTTAGAGGCTATACCTCTTCTCTTTGTGGATGAATATGCTTGCCCTGAAAGCCCCTGTCGCGCGGTGGGTCTGAAGGCTCGTTCATGTGTTCACTTACTAAAATGTTTTCCATCATTCTGTGATTTGTGAGGGAAAATCGACTCAATTTTGAGTTGGGTGCATGGCCTGCTAATGTCTGAAATGCAGATGCTTCCTGGATAACTAATAGTCACATGTGCTATAAACAATGAACAGCAGCATCTTTGTGAGGATCATTTAATAGTCTGGGCATGAACATCCTTGTGCATGTTGTGCAGGGGATCAGGATGAAAAAGCAGTTTCCTAAAGTCAAGTTTAGTGCATTAATCAAACACATCCGATATTTATGTATTTCCAATACAGAATCAAAAGAAAATATTCTCATGAAGGTTTTTATTAAATATTGAACTGCATCAATTCTGTCAGCTCACGCATCCTGCCTATGCTTCTCTCCAGCCGATCTGCTCTGGTCACGTAGCAAAGGTGTCGAATGATTTATAGAGTTAGTAGAAACTGATCTTGCTCTGGGGGCTTCTTCACCCAGGTGCCCAGACCTGCTTTCTGAAATGCTTTAAACAGCTGCTGCTTGACAGCCTGGTACGTTTGAGGCACCAGCTTTGCTTCACTGTACACTGATGGCATGTCTCCATGGCTTGGGACTCGTGTGCTCAGCTGCAGAACAAAAATCAGGGAAGGGGAAAAATAATAATAATAATAAAAAAAAAAAATCCGACCGACGAGCCAAAAGAAACAGGAGGCTTCAGTAGCTGTATAATCTTCCTGTCTACATTTCATAAGCAACAGATAAACTGTCTTTGGGCTTTGTGTGTTTGCTTTTGGTTTAGAACAACAAAACACTGAAGGGATAACTACATGCAACACTGTTTCTCTCTCACAAATTGCGGAGCAAATGGACGTAAAAAAAAATCTAAGCAGCTTTAACCCTCTTGAAGTGGGCACAGCCAGCAGCAAAAAGAAACCTGCAAATCGCCAGGTATTGTGCAAAGAAAAAAAAAAAATCTGTTTTTCAGTTACAGAGCTTTCTGGAGGGAAAAAATAGCCTTTCTGAGAAGCCTAAAAGAGGAGGATGTGCTTGGGGTTAGTAAAGGAAGCTGAGCAGTTCAGAGCTTTAGCCAGTCAAGCTAATGCTGAGAGACAATAGGAGGAGAATCCCCCCTTCCTTTAAATCTGTTCTAATAAGAAATGCTGTGAAACATGCATAGGAAGGGGCAGTAATGAAGCTTCGGGGATTTGTGCCAGCACGTATAGCGGAGAGGCTGTCTTGTTGAAGGGGAGCATGGCTGGTGCTATACAACCGAATGTTCTGAACTGAAACCTGGAGCGCCTGCCAGAAACTGTCTTAAGAGACAAAGACACATGTCTGCAGTCCAATAATCACCCCGAGCACACACACCAGAAGAAAGCACCTTTTGTTTTACAGAAGGACTAAATCAATGACCTTCTCTGACCTGCCAAAGTCTTAACACAGTCGAGCCAAAAGTGAGTCTTTGACATTATATGAAAGAAATCAGAGTCTGGAAAATGCCTTAGAGCAGACAGACAGGTGAAAGTCCAATGCTTACAAACTGGTGAAGTGACATCCTATCGGAAAAACCCCTCGGAGCATAACCCTGGTGAGTAAACAACCCTGTTTTCCTTCTGTCTGATATGTAAAGACATTGAGAGACAGAGCTTCCTGGAGGGAGGCTGAAATGCCGGCTGCGGCGAGCAGAACCCACTTGTGCGGAAGCCTCTGGGCTCGTGGACTCACTTTAGTCAGGGGGCAGTGGGGTGACTGATATGCACCAGCCACGTGGAGGGTGGTGGAAGAGATGTGGCAGGTGTATGTTGGTCACAACCAGGAGTGAGGACACAATATGGTGTCAAATAGGGGCTCCCCTTGCTAGTCATAGGATCCAGAATCCCATCTGTTGACTTAAGGCAGGGGCCCTTTCCAGAACCCTTGGTAATTCAGTCCCCAAATCGTTCCCACTGCAAATATCAATATTATTTTGTCCCCAACAGCCACCTTGCTTAGTAACAGGCTGATTTAGTCCAAACTGTTCAGCCTCACTTTCTCTGGTGTGAACACGGTGCAGTTCAGGTCTCTTGTATTCATTGCTATAGTCACTATATATATCATTATATATATATATATATAAAATTCACTGCTATAGTCCCTATATATATAATTGTATACTAAGAAGTATTTTTCCCAACTATTTGAGTTAGTCTAATAAAAGATATCAGATTTACCCAAAGAACCTTGTCTTGCCTATGTCCTTAGACCAACACGGCTACAACCTACACCCTTGCTATAGTCCCTGCGCTGGTCTGGGCTTCTCTGCCAGGTCCCAGCTGCCCCTGCTCTAGTCCTCACAGTAACCTCTTAGCTGCACCTTCCAGCAATGCTGCTCTCTGCTCCCTCTCTAGTGGCCACAGAAATGTTCAGTCAAATGTTCCCTCACCATGCAGGACGGGAAAGGCACTGAGCAGTCGCACTGTGCTGCCCTGCTCTGCCACCAGTCTAGGGCCTCCTTGCCCGTGGGCTCTTGCAGATTCTCACGTGCAGCATCAAGCAGGCTCACTGGAACCACACACTTGGGCTGCTCTTTGGACCTGCTTCCCAGCCTCACATTGGCACTCAGCTGACAGTATCCCTGTAGCAGCAGCTGCTCTCCCTGCACTATTTCTGCCCCAGTTGTCTCTTCTCACCCCAGGAAGCTGTAGCAGAATTTCATGCCCAACTCCTGTTTACTGATGTCCCTGTGAAGCAGGGCAACAGGGTCAGGGCCATGTTTCACAGAGCTTCTGCTGTCTTGTGGAGTGGGAATTCACACCTACGCAGCAGGGCTTCACACCTCCATGCGGTGTGACTTACTCATGTTTATTTAGCAATTGGTGAGCAGGGGAGGGTGAATGCAAACAAGGTGTATTGGACTAACCAAAAAGAAGTAATTGGAGGAGATGTTGCTAGAAGAAAAGGATATGAGAACAAAATGATTGAAGGTAAGTGCACAGTTCCCCCCACTCCTCTGCTACATTGCCTCCAATCACTTGGGCTACCCGTGGCTGGCTGAGGTGCCAGCAGAAGGCCAAGTCGAAGTGAGGAATGCTGCTAAGCCTTCTCACATGATGCCAAATTGGTACAAATTAAATTAAAGTACTTTACTTATTTCCCTGTCTTCTGTTCTGCACAGAATTGCAGTATTACAGAGCTATCCACCAGGAGGCAAGGAGGTTGAAGGTATGTAAAAGATGCCTGGCTGTCACTGTCCCTTGTTTCCTTTCCTGGAATTCTCAGCTTTTTGGATCCACCTCCTTTTTTCCTCTTTATAATGCCTCAGTGATATTAGAGAAGAAAAGCCAGAATGATGCCAAGAAGAGGGACAAGTTAGAATAATAGGAAAGTAGGGCTGGAAGGAACAAGTCACCTAGTTCACCCCCCCTGCTCAAGGCAGGGCCATCTCTGATTAAGCCATCCCAGCCAATTGTTTGTTTAACCTGCTCTGAAAAATGTACAGGGCTGGAGATTCAAACCCTTCCAGGTAATCTGTTCCAGTGCTTAATCAACCACTTGTTTGCCTGGCAATCTTACAGTGATTGTGCTGCTTCCCAAGACCAAAAGGAATCCTAGAGTTCACCTTTCATGGGCGAGGGAGTGTCTGAGAGAATCGTTCAAGGGGCTGCTTGCTCACAGCTCTGTTGTCAAGAGCCACATGTTCAAAATCAGACCCAAAAATCACAAATCTTGATAATTTATTTTTTAAAAAGGCCTTTCTCCTGATACTGGAGCCTGTATAGAGAAACTATTCTCAATTTGTCTGTAGCCATTTCAAGTTCATTGTATTCACACCTGAAGCTCTGCCTGCCTGCCTGCTGGCTATGCCAAAGATGACTTCACACACTCTCTCCTAACTCCTGGGAGTTCCTATTTTTCTTCCAAGCTCTTTTTCTATACTCCCCCATAGTCTCTTGTCCTGAAATTTGTCCTCAAATTCATTGGCTCTCCCTTTCCCTTCTTTCTCTTACATCTTCTTCATGTATCTGTGTACATCTCTCAGTTTCCATTTTATATCCTCTGATCAGCTCCTGTCCCATCACTGTCTCCTGGTTGGAGAAAAATAGCGACAGCCATCTTTACTGAGGCCAGACTGGTTTCAGTCCATTTCAGGCAATGGGAGATGCTGATTAGGTTTCCTGGGGGTCAACCAGATTATAGAAGCATAGTAGCCATTTTAACTGAGGCTAGCCTATCACAATAATCCCATTACATATAAGTCCTACTAAGTTTAATGGAAGTGAAGAGTGCTCAGCACCTTGCGAGATCAGTTACTTACCTTGCAAGAAGCTGAGAAACCATTATAGGTATTTACATCTATTACATTACAATCAAAACCAGAAACCAGTTTTCATATACTGGCGCTTGGGGCAGAATTCTCTTTCACCTAGTGGACAACTGGTTCTGAGTTACCCAATTTAAGTAAAGGGGTGATTCTGTTACCATCCTTGGGCACATAAATGCCCCAATCATAGGAACAGGGAGACATCCAAGTATCTTCAGAGGGCAATCCTATTCCTATAATGGGTGTGCCCAGAGGGGGATTAATAGAATTATTCCTACACTTTAATCAGGTAGCTCAGAGTTGGTCACAAGTTGTACTTTAATCATCAGCTAAGTGCAACGGAGTTCTGCCATCAGAATGGAGCACAGAAAACCACATACCTACTTGACATGCCCTTAGTAACCAATCTGGAATATAGTGCCCTGGTTTTTATTGACTACTGTGAAAATGGTTCTGCTTTCAAGAATGATCAGGGTAGGCACTCCGCTTTGGTCTGGATTGCTTTAGTAAAGCTTGGGAGATTGTATTGGCTAAGTCCTTCTGTGCTCCAATTTGGGCCACATAATGCCAACTCAGATGCGTATGGCTCAGGAGGATTTCTCCTAGGTTTCAGCCAATACTGATGAGGAGCTAAGGGACTCCTTTGGAGGCTGTCAACATTAGACTTACCATACTTACTCAAATATAAGATGAGTTTCTTCCCCTTCTCTTACATTGGTATACTAATTAAATAGTGTTAGGGACCTACCAATACATGGCAGAAGTGGGGTGCATGGCATCTCCTTTAATCTTTCATGTTTCCCTATATGCCCCCCCGCCCTGCCATTGATTGGCAGAGGGGTCCCACTGCTCCCTGCTGATCAGCAAGGAAGTAAAAACCATGGTTTTAAACATGGCATGGTTTTTGCCTCCCTGCCAGTCAGCAACAAGTACTGGAGCCACTGGGACCCCTCAGTCAATCAGCGGCAGGAGGTAAAATGGTACCACAGTTTTCACCTCCCCATCGATCAGAAGTGATCTGCAAGCATGGCCACTCCACCAATCAGCGGAGGGGTGCATGAGGGAACATGAAAGATTAAAGGAGATGCCATGCACCCCACTTTTACCATGTAATTCGTAGGTCCCCAAATATAGTCTATTATTAAACTCCTGCCAAAAGCAGCATGTGCTCAGTAACCATGTGCTTCATGGAAACCAACCATGAAGTTGATTAAATGCAGCCCACACTGGGCATAACTATAAAACACATAGCCCATATTGGACAAACAAACTAATGAGAACCTTTTTTATTTTGTGTGGCCCTTAAAAAAAACAGGCAGATGTTCCCTTTGTAGGGAACTGGAATTAGGCCTGGAGGCACTACAATATCAGACTGGCACCAGGAGGGCCAGAGCCAGCCCTGGCACGTTTGCAAAAAAAAGCTGAAATGATGATGGGAACCTACCACAAGGATAAGTTAATATAAGAAATCTGAATATGGTATATGGTAGTGCCCACTGCACTCAGCCCCCTCAGCACCGATTCCTTTCCAAGTCATAGTTAGCCACTACGTAGAATATATTTCAACTTCCTCTTCACTCCCCCAGCTGAGCTTTGCCTTTTTCCCCCCCTCATTTCTAATGATTCCTGTTTCTTCACCAGCCTCACATGTCTGGCAAACGTCACCAAATGGGACCCCAAAGGTTTACCCAGAATCCCTCTATTGCCCCCTCCCTCAGCCTGTCATGTATGATTAGTGTGTCCCTGCCCCCCATGAGATGGATCCAGACCGGGGCTGTGCCTCATCTGCATACAAATTCTGGAGGATCCCAGGACTCCTAACAAGAACACCTGGTTCCAGTTGTGAACGTGGGGCTAATTAATACATTGGTCCTTTGTGGGGGATATCTGGAGTACACACACTTACTGAGCAGTGCTAGGGTGTGGGGTCACCATGGCTTGAAATGCTATTGTCTCCTGGGACCCAGCCCAATGGACTTTATGATATATCATGACACTTTTGGCTCCGGACTAATATCATGCAGGGTTTGTGCTATATATAAGTAGGAACAAAAGTGCTGCTTAAAAGTGTTTATGGAGTATCTGTGCTAAAAATTGCAGCAGTTTCCAAAAAGGTAAAATGCATCAATTCTGGATGAAATAAGTCTGTGAATACCCATAGTAATTTGCCTACATATAAATTACTATAGGCAAGTTTATTTCAAAGTCATTGTTTTCAGATTTGCCCACCTTTATATGTGCTCAGGGAGATCATGGTCTGACAATAAAGGGGAGAGGAGAGGCTGCAGGGGGAAGAAGTTGATGGGCGCAGAGGTCAAGGGGGCCACCTGATCCCTTCCCCCCTATTTATTTTTCCTAATGTAGCAGTGGGAAGGGGACAAATTCAAGGCAAACCTCCAATAATTAGATTCTGTACCTGGAAAATTGTAACAATTTATAATTTTCCATATATAGAATCAAACTATAGTAAAATTTCAGTGACTGGCACCTTACAAGCTGGCATGCTCTATTAACCGGCATGCCGGCTTGTAAGGTAAAAGCGAAACTGGAAGTGCACACTGTGGCACTTCCGGTTTTGCCAAGCCCCCATAGCCTGGTGCAAAGCAGCCTGTGCTGACAAGCCCCCACAACTTGGAGCCTGCGAGGCCTGTGGGAGGGTCGGCGATGTGGCAGGAGGGGCAGCGACACCCCAGACACGGCAGGAGAAGTGGCGGTCCAAACAGGCAAAGACGCCTGTTTGGGCCTCTCAATTAACCGGCATATTTTGTTATCCGGCACCCGCCATTCCCCATGGGTGTCAGATAACAAAGCTTTTGCTGTACTGGGGGGGTTGTCTTATATTCAGGGATGCCTTATATTTGAGTAAATATGGGAAACTGTTCAAGAAGTTTGCCTCTATGGAGTGCCCTGATGTAGAATCAAATTCACAGTCTCTGTCTTGCCAGCTTGCTCCCAAAAGCAGCAAGAGATTTTAATTCTTCCTCTTAGTGGGGCCAAAATCCTAATACCAGGCTAGAAATATGGCTGAAAAACTCTCAGTAGCGATGCCTTTGCCTGCAAGACAAAGTTAGTGTGTAAGGCCTACCTTTCCATAAAGCTTTGACCACCGAGCATAAAACATGCGTTTGCAGAGCCGTGAGGAACTCCCACAGTTCCTTTTTCCTGTTGTGGCATTAATAACCTCGAGGTCCGTGTTACCCACTATCCAGTTCACACTGAAGCTGGGAGATTTTCCTGGCTGTCGCACCTCAGCATTACTCACTCCTGTCAAGGCAGAAACAGAAGGCAGTTGAGCATTTATATTAATGGTCCCAGACTTTCCAAGTTAGATAACATGCAATGGGTCTTTGTTTGCTAAGGCATGCAATATCTTTGTGCAGATTCACACCTATTGTGCACCACACAAAGTATTGTTATTTTAACCAGTTTAATGTTGCCTCTTTGGACACCTTAGAGTGGCAACACCAGATATGCCTTTGGATTCTTTAGGACTAGACTGGGGAAGGCAATTATATTGTAATGTACATTATTGACAGCAGTGTTGGAGTGGCTGACAAACCTTTTCAGAGTGAGGATTTTCTCTAACAGGCTTCAGTGCAAAACCAAATTTTGAGAAGTACTAAGTAGTTGTCCTGATAAACAAGAGTGACTCAGGGCAAGCCGCCTCCTCCTTCTGTCTCCCCCTTGGATATATCTTAGGTGTATTTTGTTCTCAGTGGATACCTTAAGTTAAGCACTTGTCTAGAAAGTAGTCCTCCTTTCCAGGACAACCCATGTCCCCACTCCCTACCTCTTTCCCATTCCCAGTGAACAACTACAAGTTTCCTTTCAACATCCTGGGAATGGGTGAGACCCTGTTCCCCCGAGCGCCTCCCAGAGTAACAAGGAATAATGGCCACAAGTTGATTGAGAGTAGGTTCAGGCTAGACATCAGGAGGCACTACTTCACACTCAGGGCGGTCAGGATCTGCAACCAGCTTCCAAGAGAAGTGGTGCTGGCTCCTACCTTAAGGGTCTTTAAAAGGAGGCTTGATAACTACCTAGATGGGGTCATGTGAGCATAACTTAGTGGGGGGTCATATGAAGCCAGTATTCATTCCTGCCCAGAGCAGGGGATCGGACTTGATGATCTGCTCAGGTCCCCTCCGACCCTACATCTATGAATCTATGAATCCCTAGAGCATCCCCTTCTTAATAACTGCTGATGCAATGTTTTTGGGGAGGGTTTTGCTTTGATTTTGTTTTACTGGAGATCTTTGTGACCAAGCAACACAAAAGGCATCCAAATGGCTTAGCTCCCTCCTTGTGATAACTGCTACATCTTGTTTTCTTGTATCTGGAGAGAGGAGAGTCAGAAGGGTGCTGGGTGTATTTTACAGAACAGTATGAACAGCATGAAGTGAGCTTTGGATCATGATGTTCATTCATGACTTTTAGGTACCAGTTTTCAGACCTGACAGTGATCCTGGAGAAGGGATGGTAGTTTGAAGAAACTGAATATTTAGAAAACACATGGTCTTGGTGGTATGACTGGATTTGGTCATTCTCTCTTTTTTTTTCAGATACAGATAACACCAAACCCACAAACCTGGATGGAGAAGCTTGTTTGACTGGGAACTGGGGACTGATCTACTAGGCAGGATTTGCCTTAATCACAGGCATAGACTGGAGTCCTGGAATGACTCTGTTTCCACATTGTAGCTTAGATTATTAGCTTGGCATAACATATGAATGTCAAGTGAGAACTGAGGTGTAAACAATCATGCATTGTTTTTATACCATTTTGAAAACTTCATTTATTATTCTTTGAAAAATTAAAGCAATTAATGATATTTTGAACTCCTATCTTACCACTCTTCATCCATTGCTTCCAGAGTGCTTTACAAAGAAGTAAAGGTACCTCTATCCAATTTGTTTTTGTAGATGAGAGACTGAGAAGCATGGAGATGAAAGCTAATATTTTCCAAAACTGTTCTTCATTTTGGGTTCTTGGCTTGAGACATGTAAAACCTGATTTTTAGCATCCCAAGAACTCCCACTGGCTTTAGCTGAAATAATGGATAGCCAATACTTCTGAAAAATCAGACTCAAGGTTTTTTGAGTTGAGCATTATTCACTCCTATCAAGGGAGAAACAGAGAGAAGTTTCATAGAATCATAGAGAAGTAGGGACCTTGAGAGGTCATCTGGACCATCCCCTGCCTAAGGCAGGATCATCCCTATCCAAACCATCCTATACAAATCCATCATCTAACCTCTTAGCAAAAAAGTGCAGTCAACCTTGACACAACACTATAACCTGCCACAGGTAAAGTAGGGGGACCACAGTGGCAAATGTCCTGCTGCTGTAAAGTTTGTTCTAGAGATCCCAGGAAGAGGGCCATACCCCCTGCTACAGAAGAAGGCAAAAACCCACACAGTCCATACCAATCTGACCAAGGGATACAATTCCTAAATTTGCTATGGTCTATGTTTTTTGCCCTGAAAAGTGGAGATCTCCTGATCAGTGCCCAGTTTTGAAAATGCAGGCCCCATGGGAGAGTGGGGAACACAACTCACAATGGTATCCTATCTACAGGACCACACTGCTAGCACAATACTATTGTTGGACTCCTCTTGTGTGAAAAGGCTTTGAGCACCTGTGCCACTGGGAGCAAGGCCAGCTCTGCCACTTAGGCAGCTCACTGCCTACCACCTGTGTGCTTCTCTGCAGGATATGAATGAATGTCATAGAGAGCCGTTCACTCTCTACTCCAAATATTGTCCTACATTGTCTGCTCTACAGACAAAGACACTACAATAAAGGGCTATTGAACATGCAGAGGGAAGGAAATGAGGCGTTAGAGAAAGAAATAGTGCAGCAAAAATGTTCTCACAAGACACAGATATTTGGTTTTGTGGTTACGTGGCATAAGCAGCTTTAGAGAAATGGATGGGGTGATGCAGAGGATCACAAAGCATAGAGGAGTTACAAAGCTGCAGGTTACAAAGTGTAGAGGAGTTAAGACAGAGTTACAGTCAAGTCATGATCACACACTAAAGTTGTAATAATGACATTCATGTCACATTAATACCAATTTCAGGTTTTTTCCCTGAGATGACTGATCAGTCTGCATCTAAAAATCCAGTTCACCAAGGCAACAGACTATACACTTCCTTTTGCTGAAATCCTGAGCGTCAGATAACTTCCCAATGCTATTCAAATACTTTTACACAGAACAAGATGCGAATAGATCAGAAACTGCTATTTGACACTTATTCACCAGTCCCTGTCAAGTTATCATCAAAAAGCTTAACAGACTGAGTGCCAACAATGTAACAGCAAATGCTCAGACAGTTCCTGTCTGGCAAAAAGCTACAGGTCACAGAATCAACAACGATGCACCAAACCAGTGGCCAAAGGAAGCCAAACATTTGAATCAGAGGCACAGGGGCTTTGCATGTGTGCATGACAATTAATCCCTTAAACCAAATAAATTACATCTCAATGCCAGACAACCCATGGCCATACCAAGCTGTCACAGGAACACACACAAGCGAAAACCAAAACAATACATTGAAGCTCTTTGATGTCTAGATCATGACACGGCACAAGCAAAAAGAAAAGATAGGGGGAAAATCCATGACACCGATGGATAGCACACTAACCCAATGGCTGCATGAAGGCAAGAACAGATTTCAATGAGTGTTTGTCAATCGTATGGGTGAAATTTAGATCTCAGCATCTGGATGTAGACATCACTTCATCACCTGGCCTGCCAGGTAACACTGAATAATAGGTGACAGTCAGATAAGTGACAGCACCCAATAGAGGTGAAACCTAGATCCTGATAGTATTATAGCACTCTGTATCCACTGAATAATTTGTTGCATACATGCAATGCCATGCAGTGATCAAAGGACACATATCCTGCAGTGTTATTTAGCTAATACATGGCAATATTTCAATGCCAATAATTCTTTTAATTCAGTAATTATCATCCCAACTCCTCCTATAGTGTTAGAGTATGGGCTGGCATGTAACTGCCATCCCAGGAGTCCTCCTCCAGAGGAATTCTAATTCAGAGAATGGCAATTCCTTCCTTTCTCCTCATTTGCTCTTAGGTGTAGTAATTTCCTATGGGCTTCTTACCGAGTGTTGAGAAGACCTCTCTGCACCAGCCAAGACTCTGGGCATTCCCTTCTATTCCTCCCAGCTTATCTGCCTGTTGGGTCAGAGGAACACCAAGCGTGGGGTTTCTATTCTCAACCCATCGCCTGGTCCAAAATCCAAGGGTGGGGAACATAATGGATTCTTACTACCTCTCATTCTTCTGCGTGAGCTTGGTTGTCAGGCACAGGCTGCTTCTTTGATGGTAGATTTTAGCAAAGGACTTTTGCAGACCCAGGGAATCTGCTTCAGCATATCACCTTTATGATTGGAAAGAACCTGGGTCTACCTGTGCTGAATTAAAGCTGGGGCAACTACACTGGAGCCCTGGGAGCAGTAGAAATGTGTGTGAGTCCTCGCGTTTCCATCTTCATTTATTTTATGGATATACATTGTTGCCAAACTCTAGCGTTCCACAGACCATGATTCAAGAACTCCTAAGTCTTGAGTTTCTTTCAAAATACAATCAATTTTGGTTTTTTATATTTGCCTTCTGATTGCTGATCATTCAGGTTACACTCAAGTCATGTTTGCAAGCTTACCTCCACAATGGTGAGGCCTAGAAAGTACTTTTAAAAAACAAACTGAGGTTCTCATGTAATCATCAGAATCCAAATTGTGCAAAGGAAAACTTCAAATATCATGGGAATCCTGATAAAATCACAATGGTTGGCCACACTGGCTCTGTTTCCTGATGATTACATCTTGGAGCTTTTTAAAAATGATTTTTAATGTTATTCTTTTGAAAGATTACAATTCTGATATTATTCAAATAAAATGACAAGAATTCAAGATATATTTTCCCCCTCTCCACTGCACAAAGCACCCTTTTGGGGAAAAGATCAATAGGACACTGTAGGAATGGAAATTAAAAAAGAAAAAATTTCAGAGCTCAAGCTTGATTGTTCTGGGATACAAAGTGGAAAATAAAATTGGGAAGAGAATCTTTTATAATAGATTCAATCTTAAAAGAAAAGCAAACAAGCTGACAATAGGCCTAATGATATTCTCAGGGGGCAAATCCGCAGCTGCTCCAGTGAACTCAATGGGTTTATATTAATTTGGAACTGGAGTAAGTGAGAGGAAAATCTGAGTATTGGTCATACAGGGAGAGCAAGTATCTTGGTTTCTTCATTAGGTTCTTCACTGCCATCTTCATTTAAATGATCTACTTGATTATACAGATGAGATAACAAAAAAGATTTGGCATATGTATAATTCAAAGACACCTGTGCTTATAAATCCCTAATTCGTTTGTTCTCTAATTGGAGTCCTAAAGGTAGAAGCTGTCTGATTTGAGGTTGCCAGGGTTTGGGTTTCAGTGCATTCTGTGTTACTTTTTCTAGGCACCTGTTTTGTTAGCCATTTATTGCCACTCAGTATACTGGGGAGAGGTAGTTAGCTGCACACTGTCATTGAAACCTTTTGTTGAACTAAGTCTGTGCTGCGCAGGTATGAAGCACATAACACAAACCACAGCAACTAACCTTCATCAGGACTGTCACTGGTTCTGCAGTATTTCTGAGATCTGGCTGCCTAGGAGTCACGAGGCTGTATCAAACAATGTTTTTATGAACCAAAGCAATATAGATCAAATCATCTAGATAGACAGGTTCCACCTGCTACTGCTCCTAGTCTAAAGGAAATTCACATACAGCAGAGACAGAGAGGTTTTTCTAAACAAAGACAACTCTCAGAGAAGGGAGAAATCAAGTATAATGCACAGGAAACATAAGGTTTTTCAAAGGACATTTGTCCTTATTTGATGCAGTACTAACTTCCTAGAGAAATCTGATAATGCTTTACAGGAATAAATATATACTAGGGTGGAAAGGATTATAGGCAACAGCTAGTGCCCTGTCTTAGTGCATTTATACTAGGTAGTCAGTCCACCCCAGCTATAGCTGTGCTCTGATTCTTTTCCTTATTATCAGCTTATTATTTCTTATTACTTTGCAATTTATGGGGTTCTTTGAATACATCTAATTTCCACTGACTTTAATAAGAAATGGGCATTATTCTCATCTCACAAGGCTAAAATAATGGACTTATGACAATGAAATAAATGGTGTATATGATATCAGAATTAAGAGCGTTATATTTATAATAGGTCATATTCTTGCAGATGCTCATCACAAGGCATATGAACTATTTCAGCAAAACTGCCATTGGACTGATGGGGGCTCAGGCCAAGACCAAGGTTGAGCTTCCTTCAATATGACACAATATATTGGCACTCTGCATGGAAGTCATTGATAAACAGGATTGATATATTTGGTGATGTAAGGTCAAATAAAATATGCACAAAGATTCCTGGCATATTCACTTTTTTACACTCTTGTATCTCTGACTCACTAGACTGAAGATTTATATGACAAATGTTTCAGAAAAGGATGAGTAATTCCATCTGACCCTACAACACACATGTGAACTGTATTGACTGGATGTGCTCACACTGAACTGAAGCAGAGAATTTCCCCTGTAGCTAAACTATCACGTCCTCTGTTTTAGCAAAACTAAATTTGGCAAAAAGGCACATGAAGAAAATAACACCTCAGCAAGAAGAATATGAAATAGATAAAGGATAAAAGTTTCAATAACACCTAAGTGAATTGGGACCTTAATCGCTCCTCTGAAGTCAATGATACATAGCCATCCTGGGCACTAGCCTGTATTCTACAGGCATCATCTTGGTAGTTCAGGGCATCTTTACATGTGCTCCAAGAGCCGCTCTAATTAAAGCACTTTGCAGCGTCTTATGTATTCAGCATCCCGCACTTCAAATGGTGGCAGGGGCGCTTTAACTAAAACTCGTTCAATGAGCTTTAGTTACAGCACCCCTGCTGCCTTTTTGAAACATGGGGATACATGAGATGTGGAGGCTGCTGGAGCACACTAATTAGTATCGTCTAGGAGACTTGATTAAGCGAATCTTCTCTGATGCACTGTAATTGCAGAGCATCAAAGCAACATCCCTGCATGTCTACAGGCACCCTCAGTGCCTTTTTAAACAACTGCAGTTGCCCAATATTCTGGGCACAAAATAAGGACCTGATTCTGTGAATTACTGAAGTCCCTCAATGCTCATTTACTTCAAATGGACATGGTGACCTCAGCCTGGGGGAAAATATTTCTGAGCAACTAGGGGCTAGGTTAGAGGGAACTGAGTGAGGCCCGGGGAGCTTCTGAGTCTGGGAGGGGATGGTTTGGATTTGCAGAATTGAGTGCTGGGGAATGGGACTGGGTGAACTGGTGGAGTGGGTGTGAGAGACAGTAAGGGAGGTGGTAGAGCAGGAAGTACATTGGGATAGAGAGAAAACTGGGCACAGAAGCAGAAACACTATCTCATTTCGCCCTGCCTGGGGGCACAGTGGAACAGTTTTCACTCTTAAAGAGGACAGAGGTGAAAGCAGGAAAGTTACTTTTTGATTCCTACTTGTCCAAAATGATATGTGCCACCAAAATACTTTCCTACAGCACCTTTACACTGTCCTATCCTATTCATGTTGAAATTATGATCAGCCTGAAGAAGAGACAATATGAGCTGGTTGAGAAAAGAGGATGGGGATGAGAGGGACATAACAACAGCCAGTCCTACTGCTTATTGTAGGCACCAGCCACCAGTGTACAGTGTTCACCTCAGGGCTTTACTTCTCTCTTTGAAGCCTCAGAGACCGGATACTAGGATAAGTGGGCCATGTGTGTGATCCACTACCACAGTTTCTATGCTTCTTCACATATTTCATTTCTGATGGTCCATAGCAGCTACTTTTGGGGCACTGCCTGGGTACAAACAAGACACCTACTTCCCGCATGAGGAGAGTGGGGAATAAAATACAAAGAAAGAACACAATCACCATATCATTTCAACCTATCTTGGGTCAGTATCATACCTTCCTGAAGGGCCTAAAATCTACTAACTTTCTTTCCACAATTTTCCTAGTGGAGAAGTTCATATCAGATTTTTCTTTTTTAAGGCTGTCTTCTTTATACTACAAGTAGACATTTTTCCTGACTAGTGGATAGCCTGTATCATTTTTTTGGTAACATATATATGTTTTAACTTCTCGTTTTCTTCCCTTCCCCTGCCCCTGAAAAGAAACAAAATTTTTCACTTTAGAAAAATAATTATATCTGCATCCAGGATGCTCTTGGAAGGAGTTATGGTTTAGTAGTCAGAATGTGGGAGTATGACTACTGACAACTACTGCCCGGGGCAAGTTATTCTGGCCCAATTCCTCAAATCTATTCATATTAGGTACCTAGAGACTTTTGAGGATTTCAGCTTTAATCTCTCTGAGGCTCCATGTGCTTGACTGGAATCTTTTTCTTTCCTTTGCTACAGGCATCAGGGTTTTTTTATTTTCCCTTCCTCAGAAGGACTGGGTGTTGGCCAGAGCGAACGCTGGGGATTTTGACTGGGGTATGGCAGAGACATAAAAAAACCTTCTGGGACTTAAAAATCTTAGAAATTCATGGCTTAGAGGTCCTTTCTCCACTCAGGAAAGACTGATCACTACATTTGGGATCAGGAAGGAATTTTACCGCATGTTCAGACTGGCATGGACTATGGAGGTTTTTGCCTTGTTCTGTAATGTGGGGCATGCTCCTATTCCTTGGATCTCTTGCATATATTTTAACAAACTACTTCCTGTCCTTGCAATGGCAGGACACTGGCAGTGCCTTCATCCCTCTGCTTTACCGGTAACAAGGTGTTCTGGCTGCTTTTGGGTACTGTGCCTGGTAGTTCTGGATAAAGGTCGCTTCTGTATTTCTATGAATTGGTTAGACCAGGGATTGATGATTTTTTGCCCATGAAGGCCAGAGCTTGCAACCTGGTTGTCACTGCAGGCCATAAGCCTTCTCCCCACAGTGTGGCCAGCTACTTGCACTCATCCTTGTTGCAGATGCCTGGCTCTTCTGCAGCAAGGAAGGCACAGATGCAAGGAAGCCACAGGGTCCACAGTGGAGGAGAACGCTGTGGAGGGGATGGATGGCACAATACAGCTCTGTGCCACCAGTTCTCCCATGCTGGATCAGACCTTTTTGTGCTGCTTCAAGCTCTTTGTGGGATGGATTCAGCCCATTTGCTGTAGATTGCCAACCCTGGGTTAGGAAACACTTGAGTTGGATAGTTAGGGATGATCCTGCCTTAACTAGGGGGCTGCACTAGATGACCCCCAGAGGTCCCTTCCAGGCCTACTTTTCTATGACTCTGTGTAAGCTTGTGCCACTTATTCCTCATGACCATCATTCTCTAAGAATTTACTGCCAGGCCTTCCAAGGTACTGGCAGCATCCATGGCTCAAACAAGAACTGAGGGTCCTCTGCATCCTGCTGGGGTCTCATTTTATGCCCAGTGAAGTCAGCCAAGACTTTGCCATTGCTTTCAATGAGTGTAGGACAAGGCCTTTAATGCATAAGTTCCAGTAACCTACCTAGTCAACAGGAAGGACAGCAGCCCAGCTAAGCATCATGAGTACCAACCATCAGGCCTTTTCATTAGACATTACTGGGAGTAAATGGTTTGCCTTGGGGCCATCTCAAATTAGCTATACTCTTCTTATTCCAGTATTGTAGGGTGCAGTGTATTGTTACTATTACTACAAAAAAGAGTTTAGATGCAGGGAAGCATACAGTTTAGGTGCAGGGAAGAACACTGGTGTGTAGAATTAATAAGAAGTCAACTTTCCTGTTGGTGCCTGGTACAATTAGTGATGGGAAAGGTGATCATTTGTCTTTCAAGCAGGTGTTTGCTTACCACTGAGGAGCAGGTGATTACGCCGGTATGAAGCTGGCAGCTGACCAATGCTTTCTATTCTATGGCTCATTACCCTGGAAAGGTGACCAGTGTGATAAAGGCTTCCCACAATAATGCTGTGCAAGTACGTGGGCTCGATGAAGTAACTGAGGAGAGCACCTTGCAATCCAAGAATGTTCCATCTGAAAAAGAAATTCAGTGGTGATAAAACATACGGGCGCAGAAAAAGCTGTGCAAGAGACTGTGAGGAAAAAATGGAAAGCAATGGGTGAAGATGTTTGTTCCCATATTTGCTACTTTGATTCCAGAGACAAACATGTAGATCTTCTCACTGGTTAAGGCCCTTTACACTGCCTTGAACAGAGAGCTGAGGATTTCTCCACTGGGGGAGAAATTTTGTCCGGTATAGTGTTCCTACCACTCTGGCAGTGGGATGTACCATGGCATCTTGGAATAGAAAGGGACAGAAAGATGTGGCTATTTATTTTCTGCCAACCCTGGAACTAGTGAGGCCACAAAGTGAGCTAGAACTATTCCCCTTTCCCTAACTCACTCACAAACTCACTTCACGGGACCCCATGCTGCATTCCTCCAGTATTATGCTGGTGCATCCTTATTGCTTTTAGTGGTGGCAGGACAGTATAGGGCTGGATTAGTATAGGGATCCAAGATTTTACCAATCTTGCCAAATACTGAAAACAATAAGCCTGATTCTTCTCTCATACTGATATAAAATTGGTGTAGCTCCATGGATCTACTTCTGACTTGCATCCCTGGAGTGGCCTTTTGGATTGACAAATACTTCCCATTGGGTGTGTCTACACATCACCCTATGGTGACATTGTTACTGCGCCATGCTATAGTACTTCCTTTTAGAAGTACTAAAGCACAGTATGGTAACCACCTGTACTGTGCTGTGTGAATGGCTCACAGTTAGTTTTAGCTGCTACTTCTCTGTAGTGGTGCACTAAAACCAGGGAGCATGCTGCTATAGCGAAATAACTGCCAGTCCCATGTAGACTCACGTGATCACTACATCACTGTAGCACATTGTAAAGTGATGTAGCGCATTGCTATGGCGATGTAGGGTGATGTGTAGACATGTCCATATTTAAGACTTTTTAGAGGGTCTAAATAAAAATACCTGTAGTTTTATTTGCAATGGTCTTGCACCTGAGATAAAAGCATTCATTGTTCCCTATCTGGTATTTGTTTTTCTCTTTAACAAGCTTCAGTCACCCAATCACAGAGCTGATACAATGTCTTAGTTGGCCAATCACATACCATATAATTGTCAGGAGCAATTTGCCAACAGTACCCAGGCTCATGTATGTGTTTGCACAAGTTGTCAGGCAATTAAGAAAAATACATTAATAGAAATCAGAGCCTGTTCCTGAACAGAAAAAAAAGATATATTTGTGAAGTAATGTATTCACAATGAATAATTTGATCAGCTCTATTCCCTTTAACCTGATGAATATGTCTTGTCCTGTTGCTGTCTGAGTGATACAGTACAATGATGGGGAAAAACCTTAAGGCCTCACAGCCATTAATGATTCTGAACTTATAACTGATGTTGGATTAGTTGCCAGAAATGCTCTGCATTTTAATATACGACAATTCTTTACATAAAGCCAGTTACCAATAAGATAGAATCCAACTTCTAAATTCTCTGGAGAATACAGAATTGGATACCAAGCAGAATGAAGAAAAAGTGGGGCGGGAGAGAGGTTCTGAGACAGTTATCTTCCCTTACAAGAACCTTACCTAGTCAGCTACTAGCGTAACAAGTGATGTTCCCCTCTCTGCTTAACTAACACCGATAGGTTATCTGAGACCTAACTGGTACTTAAAATACAGTTCAAATATTTTCCCTTCGTTCTAGGCAGTCCTGAGCTACAGAGTCCAAATTAACAACTGTTTAGAAAGCATACCTTCGTAGAGTACATTTTGGCTCATAATAGCTGAAATACTGGCAACATTTGGAGATCTACAGCTGAGTGGAAAAAAAAAGGTTAGAGGTGTCTGCTATTTAAAGCAATATCCAGTGGCTGCCATGCTAAATAATGTGTTTAAAGCACAATCTCCATCAGCAGCAAGCATTATGTAGCTAATTTCTTACATCATTGTTCTTTTCATTAATTAACATTTCTCCACCGTTAGTGCAATTATTGCAGTGCCTCTGTGCTGTATGTCTCTTTTCATGATTAATAAGGAGTCATTATATTTCCCTTTCCTGAAGCAGTCAATTAACATGGAATACTTTCCATTAATTACTGAATGTTTAAAACCAGCATGCCGTACCTGGAGAGCAATCTGCTCAAGGAACCTGTGACACCAATTGCTTTAAAAAGTTCTCTTTAAATTTTATTCCAAAAACACAAGCAATTTAGCTGGCTATATTAATTTGCCTCAGAAGCAGGGCTGTGAATGAGAAACATCTTTTAATCTCATGCAAGAAAAGGCAGCCATCTGGCTGCTGAGGATTTCAGAGTGAGACTCTCCCTGTCTCCCTCTGTAAATGCAGGTCATTAAAGTAATGTGTTCATCTACATAAAACTCAAATGGAATATAAAAGGTAATATTTATATACAAACAATTTAGTCCCACAATTTAAACAGTCATTGGTTTTATGAAACATTTACTTTAGTCTATCAGATTTGCATAACTTCATTTAGGAAAAAAAAAAAAGTGTGGTCATTCCTGCAAATAATCTCACTTTCAAAGGAAGGAGATATCTGCCTCTTTGAATAAATATCTTATCGCAATGCAAAATTAATAATGCAAGCTTAGGAAATGGAAGAGAGTTCAGCTAACAGCGCTCTGCTCAGGACTGGCTTTGAGGAGTAAAAACATTTGACAGCAAGTCTTCCTTCCAGATGGAAACGCTTGCAAGATCTTTGTGTTGGTCTCAATATTTGACATTTCCTTTAAAAAAATCTGTATATTTGATTGAAAAAGGCTGAGAAAAACAGCTAAAAAAAAAAACAACATATGTTCAGCAGGATTGAAATATCACCAATATGTGCATCATCAGAGATCATCTGAGTCTTATTTTTAAGAAAACAGGGACTGAGTTCAGACAAAGTATGGGAGAATACTGATTACAGTTTAAATTTAATGTTTCATAAACAAACTGTATAATCTTTAAGGAGATTTATATGCCAATTCCTATCTTGTGTGAAGAAGGACTAAGCCTATGAAGTCAGTGGAATTACATTAGTAAAGGCTATGTTATGAGGTTGATCAGATTAGGCCCTACATATTCAAAACATGTATAAACACTAGCTGGATCTTATTTTGAGGAAGATAAACATCATTATTCATGCTGAAAGACTGAGGTACAGATTCAGTATGGTTTGCTTGGCATCACAAAGTTATTTGGAGGCAGGGGCTGGGATTAGAAATGACAGTTTCCAGTCTGAACCTCATTGCCTAACTCATTTCTTCAGGAGCACTTCATAGAGTGGGAGAAGCACTTGTGGATCACCTTGTCTTCCAGGGTTTGGGAAGTAAATATATAGAAAAAGGGAGGAAAGGAACAAAAAAAAAAATAATGAAGAGAAATGCAGAGCAGAATGTATGCCTAAAAATTAAGACAATATAAGGTTACTATCCAAGAACCAAGGTCCCTGCTGAATATCATCTCCACACTGCGCAAGAGAGGAAAGGGGAACTAGAAAATGGACCCAGTCACCAAACAGGCAAGTTTAAAGGTGAAGATAGCTCTTGACTGTTTCCTAATCCTCACTCCCTCTAAGGATTATTAAGGTGTGTGTGTGCTAGTTCACAGGACAGACTTAAAAAGGCTTATTAGCATAACTTTGTGGCCCCTTTCAACTTCTGCTAAGCAGGAGTCTTTCTGCTGACTTTGCTGAGGCCTGCATTAAATTCTTGCTGTTCTGAAATGTCTAGGTAGCCACTTGCTTATGCTTGGAAATAAGTAATTCCAAGCATAATTCTTTGCTTGGTAATTCTTTGCTTTCATATCCTCATTATAATGGTAGCCTTTGCCAGCAAACAAATAGAAAGAGAGGAAAGTATTTCCTTTTCAAAACAGTTGGGAAGGGAGACTGGCTTACAATGGGATCCTACTAGAAAAGGAGCTTTTCACTTTTGGATTACAAGTTGAAATCAATACCTTGGATAATACTGAGCAGATCCCCTCCTGAGAGGTGGTCAGTGACCTAAATTGCTGCCCTATTTCCAATTCCATGTCCCACAGATTGCAATCATCTGTGCCCTGGCCAGTGGTCTCAGCCCAGATGCTAAAGGTGGGAAAATCTGGGAGTGAGCTATATTTTCAAGCCTGGCCTCAATTTACAAAGCAAATTTAAGTCTATTCTTATTCAGCAAAGGACAGTTACATACCAGGTAAAGGTCAAGTCCCTTTGAAGTCAATAGTGGGCTAAAGTGAAGTGCTTCCCTGAATAGGGTTGGACCTGTGAACTGGAGTTTCAGGGTTCCCATCTCTGTCCTTGACTCTGCCCTTCAGACCTGTAGGCATGTTTGTGGGAAGATGGCCCTGCTGTATCATGGCTATGGATAGGAAAAGCTCTCATTCCTGAGGACTGCCTGTTCACACCTTTTTCTCAGCACCAGAGTCAAATGACAGATATTTGAGAGAAGTCTTTTCTTTGTATCCTTTTGCTCCCTACTCTGGCCAACACATATTTATAATACACACACCTGTAATAACCAGTTCATCTCTCTGAAAATTAAACACCTATGTTTTATTTATAGGTGGATTGTGGGGAGTGATACTTATCTGAGCAGCAGTAAAAATATCAATAGCTGCATTCTTTTTTGAAGGAGCTATTTCTCTGCTGTCTAATTTAGGTGCACAAAAGTAGCAGTGTTCCCATCTGTAACAAAGTGCTGGCTTCAAATGTAGCTTTTCAAAATAAAATTATTATTCAAAGGAAATGCAGTGTTACATTTTGGGCCCTCGATTTATCAAAGTGACTTTTCTCGCTAAAAGAAATATACTGGATCATTTCAAATGTTTCTAATTGTGCAAGTTTTAAAAGGCTGTTTTCAAGGGCACACATCTCTCAAATAACTTATACTTGGTCTGCTTCTTAATAACCCTTCCAATAAAGAGAATATCAACCTACTGCTCATTTGGTCATAGATCTTCTTTTTAAAACTTCTTCAGGAGGATCAATAAAACTGAATGTCC